GCTGATAATATGTGACTGAAAATTTATATCTAAAGGAAAATGATTTGAGTCTCAGATACCAGGGAGTTGAAGACCTAGAGGGGGGAACTCCCACACCTTTTAGGGGTTAAAAATGCGTGTTTGGCACCTCTTATGGTGTTCAACCTTAAAAGGTCCTCAGTGGGAGCTTTAGTAGCCGTTAACCTTTTGGGTTATTGAGCAGAAAGAAGTCATATTTGTCAGTTTATGTGTTGTTTTAGAATTGGTACCTCTGGGGTGAAAAAAATTCCAGTCACACTCACAAAACAGGATCTTGGTACCTCATACAGATTCTTTTCAAAATCTTTGATGAGCACTCCCGTCCTTTTCATATGGGATTCCCCCCGCCCCGGTTCAAGATAATCAAGTTTGAGCAAGCAAGGTTCTACTGTAAGTGTCTTAGACTCAGCTTGGAAAATCTCTCATAATGTTACATTGTTCTCAGATTGCAACACCTTTGAAAGAGTTGATTCCAAATGCCAGCCCTGAAGCCATTCAGTTGATGAGAGACATGCTACTGTGGGATCCAAAAAAGCGACCAACATGCGCACAAGCACTGAAATATCCTTACTTCCAAGTTGGGCAAAACCTGCCTAAACCTGCCCCACAAATAAAACCTTTACAGCAAAGACAGCCTCCCCAACCACCACAACAACAATACCAACAGCCAGTTCAAGAGAGGAAAGATTCTGTCAATTCGGGCTTTGGTAGTGGAAATGAAAACAGGAGGTTTGGTGGAGAGGCAGGTACTGTCAGAAAAGTTCCTGTGGCAAAGGCTGGCAATGCCCTTAGTTATGGGAGTGCCCGGAAAAGATGGGGTGAAGGCAGTGGAGTTAAAGACAGCACTGATGAATTTGAATCCCTGCTTAGTGAGATTGATACAAGTAATACATCAGCATTCACTAAGAAGGTTGGTGCTATTGATATTTTTTCAACCATTAATAATATTCATCAAGTTTAAACAAAGGAAACAACAACCATGATGGTGTTTGGATATCTGATCGTAATTAGCATAGAAGTTACAATTATTATTCTCCATTTTCTCTTTAAGTTTTTAAGTTGTAGATATAGTTGAGAAGGTATACATATGTATCAAACATTCAAGACAGTGTTTGACCATATTTCCAAATTCTCTCAAAAATGCTCCACTTTGCATTGTAGTTTCAACCTCTTCTGTGTTTGGAAAGTTGCTCAAACACAGTCATTGTTATTTGATATATAATACAACAGGGTGAAAAGGTAACAGGGGCAGATCCAGGGGTGCACCACTAAGGAATGGGGTAACACTAATAAACCACATAGTTTTTTTGCAGAATACCAGTTATATTAGAAAGCCGCACCCTCCCCCTAGATCTGCCCCTGGGTAATGTTTGAACCTCACTCATACCTTCATTTACAGCTGTAAGCAGACTGAAAGAATGCATGTCAAATCAGTGAAAAGTACTAAGCTCTTGCCTTTTTTCTGTATTTCAACTGACAAACTGTTCTTTACATTGTTGGAAATGTTTGTGTCGCACAGTTTATGAATGTGTGGATCATTTGCGAAAAAGCTGAATGTCTTATGAAAGATACTTTTGATCTTGCAATCACAACATACATGTGCAATGCAATGTTAAAAACAGAGACCACAACTTGTCTGGTAGTGTTAATTTGCCTCAATGGAAGTGGGAATAGTTTCTACATGTATATTTTCAAAGGCTCAAGTAATCCAGTAATCCATCCCGCAGGATCCCAGATGGTTTCATGTTTGTGGAAGTTTTGAATTACAGTAATGATTCAATTTAGGGTCCTCCTTCCAGTAAGTGCCCCCTTTCAAATAAGCACCCCCTTCGAATGTGTTTTTATTAATGAGCACCCCCATTCCAATAAGTGCCCTCGTCCTAGTAAGTGCCACTCTTCTAATATTTTAATATTAGAGAGACGTCAGGGGACATATCAACAGGGGTTCATACTGTATTACAGTTTTGAACATTCAGCTGTTTCCCAAAAAAGAAATAAGCTCCCTGTCCTGAATAAGCACCCTGTCTCAAATAAGTGCCCTCCCTTGAGGTAGCAAAAGTAAAGACGAGCCTGGGCGCTAAATCGATTCAATCATTATGGTATCGATGGTTTGAGAAATCATTAGTGAAAAGATGGTGTTTGAGTAGAGTAATCAAAACAAAACGACTTTTGGCTGTAGTTATCAGGATATTCAAGGGTTTGAGAAATCAAGATTCAAACTATACTGTCTAACTAATCTAATGTTACTTTTGAAGCCTCCTGTTCAGAGGACAGACCCAATTGATTCCTTCTCAAGGTTAGTTAAGTTTGATCATTGATATTAATAATTTCAAAGATTTGTACCAAGCCAATGGATTGAAGGATCCAGAAAGCTTACTGTAGTTGTGGTGCTGAGCTCCAATAGCATTGAGCATCTGGTAGTATTGCTATTCTCCTGGGATGGACAGCTTAATTGTTGCAGATACCTCCACCCCACCCCACCCCAGTATTTTGTTAAGTATTTTCTAAGAGTTTGTGGGTACCAATTTGCTGAACTGGGTGAAAAGAGGCACTGTGAGAATAAAGCATCTTGTCCAAGGCCACAATACAAAAGTTCTGGTCAAGGCTTGACCACAAGTCACCACCCTGAGTTTTATTTATCTTGTCAGCTAATGGCTCATGCATGAAGCACTCAGGCCATAAATATATGGGGAAAACCAGGGAATGGTATCTGGGTACAACACCTACCAAGAAAACAAGGTCTACAAGGAGACGATTTCAAGCCAAGTGAGCGGGTGGACTGTAGAATTGACTAAACACGGGCTGAGCTCTAACAAAGATATGTCCTAAACTAATTTACATGCCCCTTGATTTCACAGTGTGCAACGCGATTCAGGTGTTAACAGAAAGACACCACCGAGTGCCAAACAGCATTACATGAAACAAGCTCGATACTTCCCTGGTTCAACAATGAACGCGCAACCTCAGGTGACTCACAACCCAGCGCCCTCAATGTACACTAGAAAAGTCTCCTATGGAAAGACAGGGAATGCTGTGGGAGGCAGCACGTACGTGCCATCTTTTGGCGGTGGGACACAAAACAGAGCTGGTGGTGTTGGAGGTATGTAACAGGCCCATTCAGCACAATTCAGTGATCTTCAATTAGTGTGCATCTTGTTATTTAACATTAAGTAGCATAATGGTCATCTACTGTAATTCAGTTAGTCACTGCATCTTCGTTTTTGGCAAAGCAAACTGCTTGCCTCAGGTCCTTTAACACAAAATAACATTTAACTGCAAGAAATATTTTCCCATATCTTCTGGGACTTGCGCAAGTAGTGTCACGTGATGCCTGTGATTGGATCCCTGGGTTGACGCTACCAGCTGATTGGTTATTATCCATTCCACATTGCATTCTTTTGACCATTCTCTTGTATTTATAACTGTAGGTATTGGCTGGAAACCACCAATACTTACCAAGCAAGGTAGTGGTACAAATATTTACCAGCCTCCTGGGGCACGCTTGGGTGTTGGAACTGACTGGAGTTCAAAGTGAGTTTAGAGATAAGTTTTCTATTCCATTATTTTGCGACATCTTTTTTTAAATGTTATTTTCATTTGAAGTGGGTAAATTTTAAATGAGGAGTTTAGTCTCACCTTCTTATCCCTAACACAATCCGTTTAAAACTTACTTGAAGTAGATTTACAAAAGTTTGGAAACCATTCAAGGTGACTGCTGGGCTGGTGTCATCTTTCGAAGTGTTTTGTGAGCGACTGTTATGGAGTAATCTCTGCTCCAACTATTATTTATAAGACACATAAACTGACATGTGGTATACACAAAGTTATAGTAATAGAGAAAACACTACAAAATCAATCTCCCAGGATGGAGTTTTGCAGAAGACCAGATACGCCGGAACTCTGGTACTGTAGTATAAAAAGGCTTGGCCTTGATAAGCACCTGTCCCTCAAAAGTTATCTCCTATTACATGTATGTTCGGAAGGAACAGTTAAACTTACAGCTTCTATTTATATTGTACATCATTGTAACTCACATCTTATCTTATACCAATTTCAGATATAAAGGACGGTCTTGAGAGAGTGATCAATCGTTTATTCATTAGGTATTGTGTTAGAATATCTATAATCTACACTTTTAGTTCAATGTACATATAATTATAAATATCGTTATAAACTCAGTGGAGACCATCAGTCATTCTAAATTGATATACTCCTCATTTAATATGTTTCAATTGTAAGAAACAATTTAATTTCTTATTTTTAGGTGTCTAAAATCTTGACTGAGCTTTGATGTAAATGTAAACGATTTCTTAAACCAAAACAGTAGTGGGCAAAAGCTCTTAAGTATTGTTGGTAATTGTAGGTAGTCAATCAAATGTATTATAGTCCAGGTGTTTTTAATTGCATCAAGCAATTGTTCAGGAATATTTGGAATCGTTAGCTGAGGGAACGGGATATTTATTTGTTCGATCAGGGGATGAACGTATTCTAGCAGTTGAATTGAGTTGCGTAGCAACAAGTATGAGTGTCTGTAAGTAAAGAAGTAATAACAAACTCCCTTTGTTGTAAATTCCTAAATCTTCTGAGAGATTTAATCTTGAATTCATGTCAACAAGGCAGCTCTGTGTTTTTTTTT